TATATAATATATATATATATATATATATATATATATATATATATATATGTATGTATGTATAATAAATACGTGTGTGTGTGTGTCTGTGTAAGAATATCAGAAACACTCACAAGCACACAGGCGAAAAGGTGTCCGCATCCCTTTCCCGCAGAAAATAAGGCTACTTCTTCCCAATCATTCCGGCGTATTTAACAAGCGCTATCTCCCCTCACACGCGTGGCGACCGACTGTCCTTTTTCGATGCTCTATATTTCCTCGCCAGACGTCTGTGGAAAACTGGAGCGAGGATTTTTTTTTTTTTTTTGGAACGCTGAAAAGACGTGCGGTAGAGCGGTTGATAAAAACGAAGCGACATAGGGAAACGAACGCAGAATAAAATAGGAATGAAATAAACATTGAGATAAAATAGAAAAAAAACAAGGACCGGAAATGCAATGCTGGCCGGAACCTTAAAACAAACAAATAAACAACAAAAACGGAAACAGAAAGAATAGGTTATCATATCGTTAAGTAGTAACATAGTCAATTAACCATCAAATTGAAGCTTGCTAAAGAAAAATGCCAAGAGGAGGGTCTTGTAGACTGAAAATCATAACTTTTAATCCAGGAATTTCGTTCTTTTGATAACTCAACTCTCCTCTAGTGTTGTCAGAACTTTTCTAAAAAGGGATTTACTTATTTATTTATTTATTTTAGATACGTTAAGATTTGTTATTTTTATTCTTAACGAACACGAAGACTGGTGTGTGAATTTCTGCGGGAATTTTCTTTTCGAGAACCAAAGATGAGCATTATAACGATGACGTCACAAAAAGGGGGGAAACGGGATACATAAAAAAGAGAGGAAAAATACGTTGCACAACAGCATAAAACTGATGCTGCTGTGGACAGACCTTGAGAGGGGAAAAAGGGGAGATTTCATGAGGTAAAAGTTGGGAGTTTATTTCTGTTTTCTATTTATCTGTCTCTTATTTCGTTTTACTTTTTATTGTCCGTTTATTTCCGTATAAGGACTGTGTGTCTGTATTTGTCTGTGTTTGTCTGTGTCTGCGTATGTGTAATAATAATGATAATATCTATGGTAACAACAATCAGCATCATCATAGCACTGACGATAATAATGATGATAATAATGTGCTAAGAAGGATAATGATGATGATGATGATAATGATAATACTAATGATAAGAACGACAGTGATAATAATTATGATAAGAATAATGATGATGATGATGATAATGATAATACTAATGATAATTATATGATGTCAGATATAATAATGATGATAACAAAAATTGTAATACTAATGATGATAATAGTAGTAATAATAATAATGATGACAATAGTAATAATAACAATAATGATGATAATAGTGATAATGACAAGAATGATGATAATAGTAATAATAACAATAATGATGATAGTAACAACAACAGTAATTACGATAATGATAATGATATTTATAATTGTAATACTGATAATAATGATAATGATATTAATAACAATCTTATTAATGATAATAATAACAATCTTATTAATGATAATAATTATGATGATAACTATGATGATGATAATAATGATAATGATAATAATGATAATAATAATAATAATAATAATAATAATAATAATAATAATAATAATAATAATAATAATAAAAAAAAAAATAATAGAAATAACAATGATGATACTTATAATGATGATGGTAATGATGATAAAATAATCATAACAATGATGATACTGATAATAATAACAATAATAAGGATAATTATGATAATGATAAAAGAAATTAGATAATCAAGAATAACAGTAATCAAAATGATGATGATGATGATAATAATAACAACAATAATGACAATAATAATAAGTATGATGAAGATAATAAGGATAATGATATTAATAATAATAACAATAATGATAATAATAATAATGATGATAATAATAATAATAATCATTATTATTGTTGATATCATAACATCAATAATAATAATAATAATGATAATGGAAATTGGAATAATGATTATTATTATTATTGTCATTAGTATTACCATTATCATTATTAGGTCTATTATCATTACCATCATCATTATTACTATAACTACTATTACTGTTATTATTGTCATTATCATAATTATCATCATTATCATCAGTATAATTATTACCATTACTAATTGTTATTATTATCAATGTTATTATTGTTATTATTGTTATTAGTATTATTTTTTATCGTTATTATTATGCTTATTATTATATGATTATGAATATGCTTATGGTTATGGTGAATATCTTTATCATTATAATCATCATCATTAACATTAACATCATTATTATTATCATTATCATTATTACCTTTGCTAAGGAGGTTATGTTTTCGGTAGCGTTGGTTAGAAGGATAACTTACAATGTTATGAATAGATAATCATTGTTATTGTTTTTTATATCACTATTATTATCATTATCATTATCAACATTACTGCCATTAACATTATCTTTATTATTATTCTTGAATTGCTATTGTCATTTTCATCATTGTTATTATCAGTGTCTTTATTATTATCATCATTATTATTTTCGATATCATTATTACTATTACTATTACTATCATTAACACATTATTATTATAAACATTATCATTATCATTATCAATATTGTAATTGCGATTATACATATATATATACATGTTATAATGAAAATAATGAAATAGTAATGGTAGTAATAATGATAATTTAAGTTTTATCTACAGCGCCAAATACGGATTTCAAGTCACGTGTTCAGTGCATCGCCGTTGTCCGTTGAAAGAAAAAGTATCGTACAATAGGAATTAGCCTTTTTTTTTCTTTTTATATGGTTTTAGACTAATGTTGTCTATATCCCCTAAACAAAGGCAAAAGTCTCGCACATAGAGCTTGGTGCGGGACAAGGATGATAATGATGATAAAAATAGTATGCCTCTATTCATATTTTGCTATTTATTGAACATGTCGACTATTCCTGTTATATTTTGTTAGTAGATATCGAGCGGAACCCTCTTGATGCCCTGATGTGTCTGAAGCTCTAGGATAAAAAGAAAAAGAAAAACATACTATTTTTTCTATTACTATAGTTATAATGATGACAGTAATAATAATAATAATAATAATAATAATAATAATAATAATAATAATAATAATAATAATAGTAATAGTAATAATGTTAAAAATTATTATCATCATATAATTACACTTCTTAATATTATTATTACCATTATTATTATTATTATTATTATTATTATTATTATCACTATCATTATTATCATATATCATTAATACCATCTATATAAGAAAAAACGTAAAATTTTAGTAATAGCGGAACTTTATTCGAAGGATCACTTGTATAAACCAGAATGTATAAAAAGTTCTATGTATTTCTCTGGCCAGACATGCCAAACCAGCGGAAAAACTGCCAGATAATATTGTGACTGGAAAGCGGGTCAATATGTAACTGCAGACTGCGGATTTAGAGTCTAGAGGTAACCCTAACGGAATTTGTACACATAATAAGTACAGAATTTCGTCCTGCGTGGAACCTGCAAAGCTCACACGTCAACACACTCACTGTTATCAACGTATAGGCTTATGAACATCTGATACTGTGATTTGAGTAAACTGTAATGAGGTTAAGGAATTGCAGGACAGTTAATATATCACGAAATACGTCCCTAGTAACTGTATTCCTCTGTCAAACACATTATAGACTAGGAAAGTTCAGTTATTGACCACTGAATATGTACTGATTAACATCACTGCATTGTTTTCATGGCAGGCAAGACTCCAGAGGCTCTCGGCAGCTATAACAGACGTGCAATAATTGTCGCAAAGAAAAGCAATTTGGCCATATGTGCCAAAGGCGATAGCATGCATCCGATGGTGTAATAATTTTCTTGAGGGTGTGACATTTCGGTATGTAAAAAAATGTGGATATGTATTGCCATTCGTATGAACTTCCCAATTCATACATCTGCCTTTTGTTGCAGAAACACACAGTATATTTAGTATTCATGTAAATTGTTGCCTCTTATTGAAAAATAATCATGAACAGTCTCTTACGAGTTTAAAGATAAATGTAAATTACTATTAAAAATCAAACCAACAATGATTTATCTTCCAGTTCTCAATACTGTCTTTCATTCCTATTGCATTACGTTTTTTAACCTTTGTGTTTTTTTAACTCGAATCTCAAAAGAACCGTTCCAGTTCTCAATACTGTCTTTCATTCCTATTGCATTACGTTTTTTAACCTTTCTGTATAAACATATACCAGTTTTACATACGTTTCAATACGAAATGTATTTTAAATTCTCAAATGTCCTAATGATGAGTTACAAAAAAATAAGTTTTTAGTTTTTGGCGGTTTATTACACATCCTTCTTAACGAGCTGAATGGATAGGTTAGCACGCCTGTGTGGGCGGAGCTTAAATTTCAAATCGCTGGAAATGGGGCATCAAAATATTTCAGCAACTTGTAATTGAGGACAAGGGCGAATAATGATGATAATGATAGAAGAATGATTATGATACTAATAATGTTAATAACTACAATGATTATTATGTTAATAACACTACAATGATGGTGTTAATAACTACAATAATAATAATAAATACAATAATAATGTTAACAGATGCAATAATAATAACAATAACTACAATGATAATAATGACAATAACAATGATAAAGACAATGACGATAATTATTATGTTAACAATGATATCAATAATAACTATTCGTCTCTTAACTTTATCATGACAATATCTATCTATCTATCTATCTATCTATATCTATATCTCTATTTGTATCTATCTATCTATCTATCTATCTATCAATCAATCTATCAATCTATATATGTACATATATATATAATATATATATATATATATATATATATATATATATATATATATATATATATATATATATATACATATATATGCAATATGTATCAATATACATTTCTTTTTCTCTGTTTCAGATCACGGGAACAACTGGGAAGCATCGGTGGATTTTCTTCGGGTGAGAAATGATAAATCAATAAAAGAATAAGAATAAATTGTAAAGAAGAGGAAGAGGATGAAGAAGAAAAGACTAGATTAAACATGATTTCAATAATGAATAATATATAAAATACACATCTCTCTCTCTCTCTCTCTCTCTCTCTCTCTCTCTCTCTCTCTCTCGTCTGTATGTATGTATATATGTATGCATTTATATGTTTATGTAGGTGAACGTGCAAACACACACAAACATATGCAAACAAACACACACAAACATATGTGTGTGTGTTTGTCAGTTTGTGTTTGTATGTTTGAGGCCCATCTTGCTCTCCTCTCTCTTGTGTCTCTTATTCGCGTGACAGGCTGAAACCCTCGTTAAGATAAGCATTTCTGCCGTGATTACTTGAGGTCCGGGAAGTTATGTGAATACCTTTTTACTTTTAACTACAGGCGCTTCCATTTTCCTTGACGTTTTTTCATTTTTCTCAGTCCTCTTTTGCCTTACCCCACTTTCTCTCTTCTTATGTTGTCTCCTTTTCCCTTGTCCTATTATGTTATTTTTTTCTTAATTTATTGTCATTTTCCACAGGAGTCTGTTCATCCTTTTCCTCTTTCTTCCTCTCTTTCGCCTCTCTCTTTTTTTCTCATTCTTTGCTGTCTCTTCTCCCTGTTTCGTTTCCTGTCCCTTCTCCCTTTCTTTTTCCCGTCTTTCCTCGTTTCCTATCTCCTTCTTTCTCGTTTCTTGATTCTCTCTAAATCCTTTTTCTCTCTATTCTCTCACCTCCTTCCTCTCCTTTATCCCCTTTGCCTCCCCTCCCTATCCCCCTCTCCCTTCGATTATTTCCCTCCCCCATTCCCTCCTCCTTGCTTCCCCAATCCCCTCTCCCTCCCCTTCCCCTTCCCACCTCCCCGTTCCCTTCCCCTCCCCTCTTCCCCTCTCCTCCCCTCCTCCCACCCTTCCCTTCCCCATCCCATCTCCCCTTTTCCCCTTCTCAGCTCCCCTCATTTCCCCTTTGTATCCTATCCAGTGATCAGACGGAATTCCATCCTTTGTCTGACACGCGCGCTTTGCCGTTCCATTCATTCTAGAAGCGGGCGGAGAGGTGGACGGGGGAGCCGAGAAGCGGAGAAAAAAAAAAAGTCGAAGTGTAATGGAAAATGCGAAGTGCCTGGAATGAAGCGATGCAAAGAACAATTAAGGAAGCGTTGGAAGCAAACATGATGAACGAATGAAGAAGGGAAGGAGGATGGGGGAGAAGAGAAGCGAAAAGAAAAAGTAAAATAGAAAATGTGAAGTGCTTGGAATGAAGCGATGCAAAGAACAATTAAGGAAGCGTTGGAAGCAAACATGATGAATGAAGGAAGAAGGGAAGGAGGATGGAAGAAGAGAGCGGAATTCGATGTAAAATAGAAAATGTGAAGTGCATGGAATGAAGCGATGCAAAGAACAATTAAGGAAGCGTTGGAAGCAAACATGATGAATGAAGGAAGAAGGGAAGGAGG